TAATATATAATATATAATATATAATATATAATATATAATATATAATATATAATTTATATTATTATACATATCGTTATATACGGTATAAAATCAACCGGAAGTTTAAAGTACAATTCTTACTAATTTTCTGAATTGGAAAGAGATTGTTTCTTAATTTCATTCAGATTTTTTACAAATCGACCGATAGATTCGGTAGAAAGTTAACCGGAAGCTCATAAGTATTTGTAACGGGTGTTTTTTTCGAGGTATAGAACTTTAAGTTGCATTACTGTTCAAGATGACGACCGATTTAACAGCTGTCAAGTCATTTATTCTCAGTTTGGTTTGGCAATTCATCATGAATAGACTCACGCCTGAACAACGCTTGCAAATGAATTCGATGCGATGTAGCGCACTTCTGGTTGAATGGCTACGTCAACAAACAAAACTGTCGCATTTGGAGTGAAGCTTATCCTCAAGTGTATGTTGAAACACCGTTATATCCAGAAAAACTGACTGTTTGGTCGCTTTATGGGCTGGTGGAATCATTGGGCCGTACTTCTTCAAAAACGATGATGGCTAGAATGTTACAGTGAATGGTGAATGGGTAGAGACATGATTACTATTTTTTTCATTCCTGAATTGAACAACCATGATGTCCAGGAGCTGTGGTTCCAACCAGACGGCGCAACATGTCACACAGCTCGTGCCACAATCGATTTATTGACAGATACGTTTGGTGACCGCCTAATTTCACGTTTTGGACCTGTGAATTGGCCTCCATGATCTTGTGATTTAGTACCGCTAGACTACTTTCTGTGGGGTTATGTAAAGTCATTGGTCTATGCGCATTAGCCACAAACGCTTAACCATCAACATTCGCCGTGTTATTGCCGATATACGGCCACAAATGTTGGAAAAAGTCATCGATCCGAGGCAGCCGTGGCGGTCAAATGCCAGAAATCATATTTAAAATGTAATGCCACAAGGTTATCTTTCGGATAAATAAAATTCATGTCAATCGAATAATCCATCGTTGTTTTATTGCAACTTAAAGTTCTATACCTCAGAAAAAACACCCTTTATTAGTTATATGGGGGCTAAGGAAAGTATTAACATAATTTTACTAATTTTTTGCACAAGATCATGCACAGATTGATCGCTATGTCAAAGATCAGCCATATCTATGAGGACCATATGTTACGGTGCTTGGGTCCTTGAAAAGATGAAAAGTCCGACTTCGACAGTTTTTGGGTTAAGATGAATTTCAAAATTTTATTCTGATAACTTTATTGATGTTTGATTTGTGTACTGTTATGTGAGAGAATCAGATGGAATTTAAAAGTTTATTATTTGAGAAGTCGGCATGGTTGTCATCAGATTTCGCCCATATAGTACATATGTTACTCATATAATGATTTTCATTAGTCCAGCATGAAATTGGGATTTTCCATCCATTGGTAAATATGTTGTCGTCAGATTTCGCTCATTTTCACATTTTCTGATAGGAATGTCTATGTTACCTCACATACCAAATTTGATAAAAAATGTTATAGTGGTTCCTGAGACATAGGATTTCAGCTAAAGGTGAGCGGTGCCACGCCATTTGTCCAATTTTTACAACTGCTCTTAAATAGCTCTTCAATACCAACTTGATTGTAAAATTTAATTCTTGTGGAGCATTTATTTAGTGAGTAATCGTACTTTTAGTAGATTTCAACATAATCGTTATAAGGGGAGTGGGCGTGGTTATTATCTGGCTTTTCCCATATTCACAGTGTGTGAAAAGCTGCTTCTTCTCAGTAAGTTTGGTTGGTTTGTTGGTTGGTGTGTACATTAAAGTACTTAGGGGGCGGGGCCCACTTTAAAAAAATTGTTAGCCAAAAAGTGTGCCCCGCTACTTCGATCCCCTGTACCGAATTACAGTTTTGTTTCTTAATTAAGTGCTTAATTATGACACTTCATATGTTTTCGTTTAATGGCGTTTTGTGCGTGTGGCATTGGTATGATTACGACAATCTGAAATACCAAGCCTATATATATAATATATGTATAACTCTCTTGATATACCAACCTTATATATATATAAAGCCTTATATATTTATATATATATATATATATATCTATATCGAATAGCTTCAGGTGCTACTAGAAACCGTTAGATGAACAAAACTATTTACATCAGTGTGGATAATTTTTTAAAGCAAAAAAGTCATAGTAGGATGAAACCCATTGACAACGAAGAATGAATTATCAACAATTCAAGGAAAAATAACTTGCCGGGGATCTGAGGACAGGAAAAGGAAGGGGAGGGCGTATTTGAATCAAAGGTTTTCAACCTACTATAAATTTTGTTTACTGTTTACCAAGTTTAAAGGCTTCTGCACTGGTATAATAATACTCTATACCAGCGTGTTGTCAGTGATTTTTATGTTTTGGTAATAAAAGTACACATTTTGGACTGGAAAATAAGTATTTAAATTTATTTACCCAAGTGGTAGTTTATCTTCATACTATATTTTTTATAAATGACCGAAAGTTATTATTTCTGAGTCGAAAAAATCATTAGCTTATTAGTGGTTTCCTTTACTCATATGTTTCGAAAAAACCATGAACATTAACTGTGGTCATTGATATTACAAAAACTTATGTAATTTGATAAAATACATTATATTGATCTAAATCTCTTTCTCTCTTTTCATTGCAGGACAACCAATACCCCGAGGACAAGCACAAAATTCGTGGCTATAATGAGGTGGTCGAGAAACCACAAAAGTACAACAAAAATAGCATGAACAATGGTGAGTAATGGAAAGAGAATACACATACACACATATAGTACACACCTAAAACACTCAATCACAAGCAATCAATGCGACAATTTGCATAATTTCTCGCATTAAATATGACCTTTTCCACTCGCAACACACAAGTGTCCACCTAATGGGTATACACATTAAATATTCACACACACACTTGCTTGCATTCAGTACAGTCAAGAAACTTAATCACTTAATCTCATTCCTTCTCGGCATACACCCACTCAGGTTTCCTACCCTCCAAATCGCCCGAATGTAAGCCACAACAATTGACCGCCATCGGCAATCGCTTGCTTGACTGGTTCTCCGTTATAATGGCCGACAGTAAGAAACGACGACAACATAGCCAAAAATCTAAGGCGCACTTTCCACCCGCTTGCAAGACCGAGGCCAAATGGATGTTCGGCCACTTGGATTTAAACAACGACGGCTATTTGTCGCTGCAGGAAATGTACGACTTGGAGCATGATCAGAATGAGCGTTGCATTAAACCGTTCATTGATACGTGCGACTTGGATCAGGATAATTCGATTAATACGCGCGAATGGTGCCGCTGCTTCGAGAAGACCGATCGCCCATGCGCCGCGGTACGACGAAGAATCGCTGGCGATTTTGCAGGTGAGATAGGTACAGGTGGACTTTTATTTCTTTAAATGATTTATTTATTTCGATTCTTCGTTGTTGTTTTTTATAAACTGCTACACAAAAGTACGAATGAAAAGAGCGCAACGAAACGAATAAGAAAAATGAATTAAGGATATATTAAATTAGACACAGATTCAACGTTTTTTTAGCTCAATTCTATTTTAATAACTGCAATGAAGCTTTCGACATGTTTGCACTTTGCATCGCACTATGGAGCTTTCACTTATATCATATCAAAGCTTTCACATATTTAAGAGCTTTTTAAGTTATAGCAGCTTTTCCAATTATTATGCTTAATACAATAAAATCAAATTGCATTACATTTTCATGATTACTTGTTAATTACATATTTTCAAAATATACGCGTATAAATTACGTAAACTTTTCTTAGTTACATACATACATATACTCTTACGTTTTTATTATATTATATACTTTTTATAGCTTTGGTTCTTCAATTAACTAATAAACATTTTAATCCGCTTGTGCTATACATTGTATCTATAAAGAAAATATTAATCAAAATTCGACTCAAAGCTTTCTAACTTTCATATGAAAATTTCCATTACTCGTTAATGCTTCCATCGGCATTTGTCGCTTCGTTGCTGTCACTCTTCCACTCATGTCATAAAAGGCGCCTATGCACCCGATTGCGATATTCAGGGTTTCTATAAACCCACCCAATGTCATAATTCTGTCGGTGTTTGCTGGTGTGTGGATAAGCATGGAGTTGAATTCGCCAACACACGTACTCGTGGCAAGCCCAATTGTGGTAAGTATTTACGTAAGATCATTATTTTTACATATTTAGGGGTATACGAGTATTACAGATATTAAGTCTTCCAAAATGGACACTTGGTAGGTTGCCACAGCAACTCTGCAAGCTAACGTCAATTAATAGTTTAGATTACATATATGTTGTTTTATAATCCCCGGAACAAAGGTTATGTCTGGTAAATTTTTATACTCTCGCAACCTGTTGCTACAGAGTATAATAGTTTTGTTCACCTAACGGTTGTTTGTATCACCTAAAACTAATCGAGTTAGATATAGGGTTATATATATATAAATGATCAGGATGAAGAGACGAGTTGAAATCCGGGTGACTGTCTGTCCGTCCGTCCGTCCGTCCGTCCGTGCAAGCTCTAACTTGAGTAAAAATTGAGATATCTTTATGAAACTTGGTAGACATGTTTCTTGGTACCGTGAGACGGTTGGTATTGCAGATGGGCGTAATCGGACCACTGCCACGCCCACAAAACGCCATTAATCAAAAACAAATAACTTGCCATAACTGAGCTCCGCAATAAGATACAAGACTGTTATTTGGTACACAGGATCACATTAGGGAGGGGCGTCTGCAGTTAAAACTTTTTTTTTTAAAGTGGGCGTGGTCCCGCCTCTAATAGGTTTAATGTGCATATCTCCTAAACCGCTAATACTATAATAACAAATTCACTGGAAGCAAATATTTTTAGAACTTCTACCTACGGTGTGAAAATAGTTGAAATCGGGTGGCAACTCCGCCCACTCCCCATATAACGGTACTGTTAAAAACTACTAAAAGCGCGATAAATCAAGCACTAAACACGCCAGAGACATTAAATTTTATCTCTGGGATGGTATGAGATGACTTTATAGGAACCGCGTTCAAAATTAGACAGTGGGCATGGCACAGCCCATGTTTAGGTGAAAACCCATATCTTGAGATCTGCTTAACCGATTTCAACCAAATTCGGTGCATAACGTTCTTTTCATGTTTCTATGTCACAGTGCGAAAATGGGCGAAATCGGACTACAACCACGCTTACTTCCCATGTAACACCATTTTCAATTCCATCTGATTCTTTCACTTTCCACTATGAAAATCAGGTAACAATGATTATATCGGGGTAAAACTTTGCGTGAATAATGCAATTAAAGTATGCCACCTTGCGGCCAAAAATTGTTTAAATCGAACCAAAACTGTTCAAACCCCTAAGTACTAAATATGTGGACCCCAGTGCCTATAGTTGACCTTCTACCGAAAATATCAGTCAATCCACAAATAAATCTCAAACGAGTATACCATTTGACTTTGCGAGAGTATAAAATGTTCGGTTACATCCGAACTTAGCCCTTCCTTACTTGTCAAGTTTATTTCTGTCCTGAAAAAACTTCTCATAAAATCTAATAATTGTTCGAAATTAGTATAAAACACTCTATATTCGATCCTCAAGTCAAATACTGCTGCTAAAGTCGGTTCTAATCAGACAGTTAATGTACCATTGTATTGACCATAAAATCGACTTACGAATATAATAAATTCGTATTTACAAAGTACTCTAGGACCGGAATGCAGTCCAATTAAGCTGCCCTAGATCTCTCAGCTCCTGCAAGGCTTAGAATAGACATCTCAGTTCTTGAAACACAGGGCACACCACAAAAGTACTTTGAGGTAGTGTTGATACTGATCAACAGATCAAAGGCTTCTACTTTCAGAAAAAAACAACATTGTAGGGCTCATCAAAGGGCATTTACCCTAGGGTCTCACATTTACAAACTTGGCAATGTAGAATCTGGAGGATGGAGGATGATACGATGCTGGAGCATTACTTTTGTGAATCCCCAGCATTTAGACTGTTGAGACAGGACATCTTTCACAGCTCCTGTTGCTCCTGATATTTCATTAAATCCACTGAGATACTCCGATCATAATTGGATTTCACTTAGGAGAACAATGCGTCTAATGATGACAAAAGTGCGGTTCAGGCAATCCTGCACTTCTATTTCCAACTAACCAACAATTCAGTCCATTTTTAACTACGACATTTAGTTTAGAACTACCTTTTGAGAGCTTTCCCGAAGTCAACTCGTCATTAACTTCTATAACGAAAGTGTCTTCATGAGATTTCTTTGTATTATAGATTTCAAATTTTATCATAATTCGACTTGTGACTCCTTCAAAGGTTTACTTAGTCATGTTAAATGAATATTTGAATAAGAGTTTGAACGCAAATGTCCATCAAAGATGGCGGCAAGTAGGACAAATCGTTCTATAGAGTGAACTCAAGGTACTTCAACTGGTTTACTCGTCAAAGCGAAGTACGAAGAATTAGCGTACAGATCATACAAGTAATAACAAATCTAATATAATATAAACCAAATTGTGAAATGTTAGAACCCAGACTATTCTATGCGATAAGAAAGGACCAAATTTTCATTTGGCCAGAGATTATCAACTCGACGGCATTCTTCACAATTAATTGGAAAGTCTTTTATGTAACGCAACACAGACTGTCGATAGGCCGATAGAGTAAATACTTAGGTTGGGAGGCCTACTTTGACCTTGAAAATCTCTTTAAAATAGGCAGTAAAGAAAAATCCAAAAGTTTTCATTAAAAAACTACCGAGTCATTTTGATTTTGAGCTTTTCATGAAGAACCTTTCGATTTTTTTCCTAAAAAATAAAGTCTTATAATTTTGAGAATATTTTAAATATCAAGTCAATTTTTAAAGAAGGCAATAATAAAAACTAGATTCCCAAACTTATCCAGGCGCCATCGTTCATGTAACTAAAATGAAGTCGCTTGCAAGAGTATATAGTGCACAGTTTGATTGGCTTACAAGTGAGCGATGTTCTAAAGCACGAACCTTAAACTTCACTAATATCCCAACAACAACCAGTTTGGCAAAGGAACTCTAAAAGGACATTAGAACTTACAAAAGTAAATATATGTACATACCACATTACTGTTAATTACGAACTTGTGGCATTAATTGGAGGTTCTAGGCGGTCGAGTTGAGCTGATTTGTGGCCATTACTGTGTGCCTATGCAAGGCTAATTGGCTTGCAGGAGCCCACTTACCGGCTGTCCGTTGTCCAGTAAGGTAGTAATTAGTAAACTTATGGTTTTGAAGGTTAATACCGTTATATGCATTTAATAACCCTTTGCAGTGGGTGTGATTTGTGCAAAGGAAGTTCGTTACCTAAAACCTCTGTGGGTTGCCTTGTAGCCTCGCATTTATGGCCGTAGTATAATTTATTTCAATATGTAATGCATCAGTCCTTAGTAAAACATTGCCACCCAGAGAGTTATGCATACACGATGCGGATCTTTAGTCAAACATTTATTCAATCTATAGTACTGAAGAATGCATATGAGATCTCTAAAGCTGATGCATTCACGAGGGTTTTCCTATCGAAACTGTCTTCTTTAGAATATTTAACTTATTCAGAAATACTGATTTTCATAATGTCGGAGTTTCATGGAATAAAAACAAGCTTATTAAGGACATAAAATATTTATTGATCATGCCAGGCGTCACACGTTATATCAGTTTTCCGAATACTGATTAAATGGTTGATTGTTTGAAAAGGGAGGCACATGAGCGCCAGACCGCAGACGGCCGCACTTATGCCATCATTAGGAATTGTAGTCATTTAGTTTGAAGCAGCCGTATGAAGTACTACAAAAAGAAAACCGCTCCTGTTCTGTTTACATAGTTTATGAAGAAATTTTAACAATGGTAAAATCAAGTTTCAATGGGTCCAGATCGAAAATTATCTATCAAAACTATCGCAGCAAAACTCTCAAATGATCCACTTGATTAACTTTGCATGGCAACATATGGTAATCGTCTTCAATTCGCTTGCTATATTTGAGCTATTCAGTTGAATTACGTTTAAGGGAGTATGTATATATTTCATTAAAATGGTTATACCACCTTGCCTTCTATATCTTTTGATGGTACTAGTCGATTTGATTTCCCATGTAACAGTTGTTTGTTCGATTTAATATTGTCCAAAATTTTTTAAGTCGAAAACAACACTCCTTAAGGAAAGACTATTTCACCAACAGTGGGAAAATATCTAGATTAAATCTGACAAAAATCCAGTGAAAATACTGGTTAAATATTCAAGGGATCTAAACCAATGTCCCTTTCTGATCTCACACTGCGTGGTCAAAAGGTGCTCAGCATTTTCAACTCAGTAAGACTAACTCATCAAACATAAAGGCCTATTATCAATTTATTCAAGTCTGTCTGTATGCCCGCATGTATATCCGCAAACAAATCCTTCTGTTTTTCATATATCAATCTGAAATTTTGCACATGACATTTTCTCCCCAAAGCTGCTCATTTGTTGTAACCACCGATATCGGACGCTATTAAAAATACACCTGTGAAGAGTATTATAGCTTTCTAGTTTCTTGTTCTTTCTAAGGCTTTCTGTTTAACACTTTCGTATTCAGCAGCTATTATACAATCAGTTGGAATTTCACTGATGCTTACTTATCACTTTCTGATAAATTTGTCCCGGTATTTTCAATAAGCTTCCGTTTTCTATATATTTTGTATTTCATATTTTAAGTTTTAGTAACTTTACTGCTAAGAGTTATTAGTTTAACATTTCAAATAAATGTTGTAGCTAATTCGTCTTAACTATTTGTACACCAAAAGGTCAGTCAACTGGTGCTTTGATATATTGACTTTGGTCAGCTCAGGGTACTACAAAGTAGATAAACTGACAGTGGGTGTCCGCAAGCATGTACGAGTATGAAGTGAATCTAAAGATTTCCATCCCAAAGCGGCTTGAATGACCGATTCAATGACCTTTTCGAAATTAAAAAATAAAGTTTTATATTAACAATATATCTTAAGTGCAAACATCTGCATGTGTCTAGATACTTATGTACACCTGCTCATCAACTAGAGTGAAATACACATTCGTACATAGCATTATTCCACTCCATTGGGAAAATCGAATTGAACTTTTAAGCCAATCAAATCTGTCAAGCTGACTAACAAATGAGCCAGCACAACTTTTCAGCTCTCATCATTTCTATTTCACTACTTTTTGGCTACATTTTTCCATTTTTTTCACATTTTTTCTTTCATTTCTTCTATTATTCTATTTCAACAGAGTCCGTTGTGAATAACGCCTCATCACTCACCTCCGACGATGAGGACGAGGAGACCGACGACGACGACAGTGCGGAAGGAAGTGCCGATCAAATGTTGGTATTCTAAATGAAATGAAATGAAATGAAACTAAGTGGCAGAGTTTGAAAACGCTCAACACGAAAGAGGTGTGGAAGGGAGTGGTATACCGAAAGCTTACTTGAAGAGACACGTGGTGATGGATGCAGTGCGAAGGGGCAAAACGAAGCGCAGTGAAGTGTAAGAAAAAAGGATATCTCAAACTTACGATTTTTATTTGAAGCATTACATAAGTAAATACAAGTATATAGACATAAATAAAAGACATAAGAAAAATGCTGCATAAGCAGGTAACAAGTGTTGGCGCAAATTGCAGAAGAAGAAAAATAAAATTATAAAACAACAACGTAAAAGTAGCGAAAGCGCAGAAAACGAGGTTAAAATTGGAAAATATTTGCGCAATGGAAAATTAATTTTGTATGTAAATTAATTTTTATAAAAAAAAAAATATTAATATAAGTATACATACATATATGTATACTCGTACATAAAAAAGTTATAAAACTATTGTAAAATTATTACAAAAACAATCGTAACAATTAGCGTATTAATTTTCATTAAACTCTCCTCATTTTCTTTATACGCTAACACCTAATTGCACAAGGTTGCATTGCGCTCACACTTGGTACACCGCACGCAATCGCATGTAATAATTTTAGTAACTAATGCAAACTAGTAAGATTGGCATAGAGGGAAAGTACGCTGCAGAGTTTTGAAGCTTATGCAAATTTACGAAAAATTAAGAAAACGAACGAAAAACAAAATTAAATTAATTTAAAAGTAATGGTAAAGTGGAACTGCAACGTGTTGTGTGTTGTTTATGTAAAGAAAAAAAGTAAATTAAAAACATACCTGCTAGCTTTGGAGTAGTAAGCACTTACACACATACAGAGAGAGAAATACATTGGCACATATAAAATTCGTCACACACACATACACACACACATACACATGCATACACCATCACTCATACGACAATGCAACAAAATGGCGATAAACACAAGCGAATAACAAACAAAAAAGCGAAACAAAAAGTGAACCATCTAACTCCCACACAAGCAATACTCTCTGATTAATTTTATTGGTTGAATTCTCATGCCGTCGTTAGCTTATAAAGTGTAGCAAATTAGAAGAAAGCTAAATATAAAATAAATATAATTAAAAAACGTAAAATAAAAAAGTATAATGAAATTTATAAAAAGTCAAAGTTGAAGAGCAAAAAGTTAGCGCCTAAGATGTTGGTCAACTCATTCTCGACACAAATAATAATTTTTAATCTTACATACATATATACTTACATATACTATATACATACATACATGCATATACATAAATTTTCTTCTGCTTTTATTTTTCACATTTCACATTTCAAATTTGTTATTCTACATATTCCGTTAGACAAACTTATGTATCGTACACGCTAAAATTCCGCCCAATGAATTTTGTGATAAGTTTTCAAAAAAAAAAATAATTATAATAATTAAAAAAACAACAACTAAAGAAAAAACAATGCAATTGCACGTTAATATGATGCATTCAAGGAAACGCGAAAAGGTGAAAAATAAAACACGCCAGAAAATAATTTAGAATGACACACACATACATAAACACAGTAATACCCAAACACTGCAAGTTTGTTTGGACTCAGCTTAAGTTGCAACTTTAAAGCAAACAAAAACTTTAATAAATACATATTTACTTATCTAAACAAAGAATGGAGCGCAGTAATGCAGCCGCAAATAAAAAAATATATAAGAAAGAAGAATAAGAGGCAGAAGAGGAGTAGTAAGAAAAAGAGCCAACATTTGCGCTGTCAGCTGCTGCAAAGTTTACATGAAAGCATAATAACTAAGTGACAGTAATAAATTAATAAATAAAAGAGTAATTAATGTGAAACTGCTACCTACCTTATAAAATGGAAAGAGTTGCCAACATAGTTGTATTTAATGAAACCAATGATAAGCTTTTTGAGTGTACGAGTAAAGTGTTGATAAATATGTGTAGTGCAAGTAGGAGAAAAATGCCGCGCTAAAAAGGATGAAAATAAATGAATATTATAAAAATTTATAAAAAAATACATGCAGATATATAATTTTTAATTATTTAATTATACAAACCGCTTAATTTATTCGCAATGGAATTAAGAGCTTATACACGAGCTTTCAGTTTTAGCTTTCCATTCCATTTACCTTCTGTTCAGATAAAAACTTGAGTAACATAAAAATGGTTATTATTTCAGCTGCCTTAGAAATCACCAGCAAATATTTGTGAAACAAGCAAAAGAATGTCTAAAGCTTTCATGTATGCTGTCATAAATCATTATCAAAAAAATGCATAAAACTTAATTTTCACAAAATTTCAAGCTAATAAATGTAAAAAATAATTGTCACACTTTATTAGCACAAATGTAGAGAAGGGTTTGGAATTCGTGTAAGCTTTCATGGAGGCTTTCTTGAAAAATATATATATTTAACCACTATAAACACAAAGAGTGTAGAATATTTTCAAATTTGAAAGCTTCTATTTTTATTACACACAAACTTATTGAAATCATAAATTAACAACTTTTAGTTGAGCTTTCACAAATATCAGATATTACGTATTCAAATATGAGTGTAACAATTTACAAAAAAGTCTTAAAAAGCACTCATCAATTTAGTTTGATTTCTTTTTTATATAAAAATGATACAATTTTGGTGATACCAGAAAGATTTATATAAGAACTTTGTGAAAGTTCATTTGTTTCAGAAATACAATGCAGCTAGTGCTTACATGATTCAGTAAATCAGTAGAGTTGTCACTAAACTAATGTTCAAAAATGCCAACAAAAGCTTAGATTTCAAAAAGTAAACTCCTCTAAAGTTTCAAATTGCGGTGGAATTGATTTTAGATTCTGCTAAACAAAATTTAAAAAAAAAATACTGTGGTAGCAGAAACTTTTAGAACTTCGAAGAAATCAAAACATACTTTTACAAAAAGATATAGTTAAGCTTTCGAAAAAACACTGTACAAAATTTACGATGAATTAACTGAATCAAAGTTTTTAAAGAGTGATAAATATGGTATTTTTCATGGGAGCTTTCACTTGAGCTTTCCTATTTTACAATAAACGAATAAGTTCAAAGGCTTAAATTAAAAAAATATTACAACTTTTTCTATTCGATAGTGGGGTTTATATTTTTTGTGGTGTATATTGCTTGGGACGAGCGTCACTCGTAAGTTTCATTCGTTTTAACAGCAAAACATAGTAACAGCTTTGAATAAAAATTAATTGCATTCGATTTTTTATTGCTTGACACACATTTTTATTGCTGCTAAGGAAATCTTCAATGCTTTTGGATTGATAATTATGCGTTTGTGCTATATTTTCTTTATAGTTGAAAGAAATAAAGTCTATGCAAAAAGGCACACCGTTAAAGTTTACAAAAAGTATGCTGTAAGTAGTAGAAAATATAAATATATATGAATGTATGTATGTTTACGAAGCTAGTTCAGAGAACAGATTAGAGTGCTTAGTAGGAGGGAAAGATTTAGAAAAAGCTAAGCAAATTAAATGAGGAATGCGAAAAATTACAGTAAAAAAGAGAACATACAACAACAGAAACACAGCAAAGCGTAAAGTGCAAAAATCAGATATTATTACAACACAATTTGTGACTATGAAGAGAAATAATAGAGACAAAAATAAAGAAACAAGCTGAACACGAAGCAGATGAAACTGATGATCAATACAATTAAGTGAACATAAAATTAAAAAAAAAAAAAATAGCAAAAAACACACTAAACAAAAGCGGTGTGTGAAACCTTCAATTATAAGCATTTTTAGCCAATAATAATTACCGTAATTGCAACTTTGATAATATTCGAGAGAAAATTGAAAAATAAATGCTTAAATGCAACTTAGCAAATACCTGCGTTTGCTGGAAATGAAAAAAAAAAGAAATAAAAACTTATAAGATGCAAAGCAAAAGCAAATTGAAGTGAATAAGCAAATAAAACATATTTACATGTAATTTCAGTGTACTCATGAGTATGTGGAGATACACATGTACTATATATGTATGTATGTATAAGTATAAACATATACATATACTAAGAATCTATAAAAAATGCTTTTTTCAGTTGTTTAATAAGCAAAGTGAAAAAAATCTATTATTATAAGCGGAAGCAATGCGAGGTAGCAGCTAAAAAATATTGTATATGAAGCAAGTGTATTTGGATTTAGTTGGAAATTTTAAAAAATAGGACAACAACAACAGTATAAATATAAAATTTAGCATATTCTTTGTTTTAGGCGAAAATTGACTACCAAACTGAGTGGACTACTCAAATTAATTTAAAAGCACTTTTATTTAGGCAGTAAATATAAATATGCAGATAGAAATACATAATTTACATGTAATTTACACATATAGTGAGTGACGAAACTGTTCATATAGTTAAAGGTTTATGTAGTTTTAGTAAAATTTTTCAATAATTGAAGAGTGTGTGTGAGTTTTAGGCTCTATGTGAGGAATAACTAAAAAATTTGGTAATTTTGGATATCTTTATTCAATTGAAAATGTAAATATTAATTATAATATTTGCAAAAATAATTTCAAATTTTGATCATAAAGTGTTTATCTAAACATTGTAATTAAACTTAATATAATTTGTTTGAAATAAAAATTTAATTCATTATAAATTTAATTTTTAATTTAATTTTCAAATCGCACCTTGATGATGCGTAAAGGTTAACTCTTGAAAAGTTCTATTTTCCACCCGAATTGGATCGCTTTTCTTAACTCTGTGCATGGCATATCTATATGTAGTAGGACAACGGTTAAGGTTGTTAATATTTTAATTTTAAATTCGCAATAAGTGTGTGTCCACCAACCGGTATATAATTTTTTGTAAACAATTTCATGAAACTTAACGAAAAGTATAACTTTTCTGAACTTTTGAAAATAATTATAATTAAATTTTAATTTCTAAATAAGTTATTTTATAAATAATAAATAAACAAATAATAAATAATTAATCCAAATTTGTACGTGACCAAAGAATATGCTTTTTGAACATGAATATTTTGGAACCACCGATTCCACCAAAATCTTGCATTTTTCAATAATGTAGTCCATGGGTTTTTTGCGAAGCTGCTAAATTTAAGGGGAAGACTGTCAGTGATCCACTCTTTGCTTGATGAAAGATACCACTGATTTTGGAAAGTCACATACAACTAGTAGAATCTTGAAGTAGGAAAGCTTGTCAGAACGGCTGCATACCACATACTTCTCCAGCAATCATTTTCCATCACATTGTAGTTTCTTCTATACTTATGCAATGGAGATTTATTTGAAGCTTAGGTTTAAACAAACTGAACTTAGAACTTGTGTGTTTTGTTGTATTTTAGAATTTTTTTTCTTGAGCTTGAATTATTCCTTTTACCATAATACTTTATTTTATAGATTGAGACTTTATGGACTATTCCCTTTGATCCCTAATATTTACCAAAAATCAACTTTTGAGGAGCTTATGAAAGCTTCTTAACCGCCCAAACACTTTTTTTTATTAATTTTTTACCAACTGAGAAAACTTTCGGAGATATTCGAGGTGCAAATAATTGAAATTTTCATCAAAAAATTTAACCTCGAATCAAAAAAAGATGTTATTAAAAAAATTAATCTTTAAAAAAATTTTAAATAGTCCCACAAACAATAAGTTCAAAATGATATTTATAATATAAATTTCATATTTCAAAATTTTCATCAATTTTAAAAATAAGGAAAAGTTGTGAACAGTTTTGACACACACTGTACATGCAAAGCGGTCATTCATACATATGTACACACCCAAGAGAAAAAGTGTTAGCAAATAATAAACGAATGTCATAAATAACAAAAACAACATACATTTGTATTAAATTTAAAAAGAAAATGTTTGTAAAAATGAAAAAAGAAAAAAAAAATAAATAAACAATCCTATTTAAATTTCAGCTAAGTACAATACTTGAGCGCATGTGTCTACAAACGAATATGCTTGATAGTACATATGCATACAGACATATATGCAAATAGCAAAAAATATTTTCTTGGTCCCTAATTTGTATGCATGAATTGCTCACTTCCAAAATACGTATTTGCATTAAAATGAGAAAATCATATTTTGTTGAAATTTCGATACCTCTGTAAATTGAATTATATACTGGCTTACAATCATTACCACTAACATACATAAAAAAAATTTCAAATTTAAAATAATTTCCAATTTACGTAAAGATTCAAGCATTAACCGCATTACCAACAACTCACAGACATATTTACAAACAAACCGGGTACATTGTGTACCACAAATATGCTTACATATTTACTATATACATATATATATATAATATGAATACATACAAACATAATTCTGGTCAACTTAAGCCTTTGTACGTACATAGATATTTGTATGTATATAAATGCACTATATATTAATAAATACAGTTGTATGTATACATACACACCCACATTAACGCATATGTAAGTATAATTGCATTATGTACATTGTGGTGCGCTATGATATTTGCAGTTATCAAATAAGTTGTTTTTATGATATGTTTTATTTATTGATCAAATTCGAATTAATAAAAATCATTTATTGCTAAAAACAAAAACAAAAGCAATTTACTTATTTGCATAAATACTTTGATTGGCACTGCAGCGGCTGCAGCAACAACGTGTAAGTATTATACATAACATATGTACCACACATTTGTATTATAACAATCAATATTATACCACTTTATACAATTATTATTAATTTAATGCCTTTATCTTTAAGGAGTGCTCAGAGAAGAATGAGAGGATTGTTGTAGGGTTATTGAGTGCGTTACTTGAATATTTCCTTATTTCTTATAAAAATATACAAATATCCTCTCAAGATGAACGTTAATACACATATCCCAGAATGAAAAATCGGAGATCCCATAAAGAATATGGCGATTTACCATGTCCGTCTGTCTGTATGTACGCGAACTAGCTTCAGTTGTTGAGATACCGATCTAAAATTTTCCACACGTCTACGAAGCTGTTCATATGTCGGAAACACCATATCATAATCGGTTTTTCTTGTTTTTTACTTTTGACATAAACCAAATTTCTTTCCGGTCAAGGACTGTCAACTAGGCCGTCAAAGAAAATATTTGTGGAATATTTCCTGCGTGATTAATCATAACAACTATACCTAAATAAATAAAAAATTCAATAGATACACGTCTTGTGGACTCTGAGAAAATTATTTTTAACAGGGTTCGATTAAAGATAGAACGTAATCTGAAAATTGGTTAAATGTCAAAATGGTCGTGTAGTTATTATGTAGTTGATATGTAGCAGTTTTAGGGTTGGTTGCTCAATGCTTGGTGCTGCTTAATGCTTGGTGGATGTAAATTAATTTAGCTACTTATGTAGGTATACATATATTGGGTCTATACCTACTTTGTATATTCCTAAAGGCGTAACTTGATTACTATCCCATTGTTCCAATTCCGAACATGCGTTAGAAAGCGACTGTTTTTTTGCGTCTTTTCAGTATACATAGGTATGTCATTCATTTGAATCGTAGACAACCATATTTTTTCACTTTTATATGCCGAAGATTGTTCCTGAATTAGTATTTTTGCAGGGAGTTCTTCCTCTTTACTTTAAAATGAAGAAAAGCTCAGCCGAAGTCGTATTTTGGTGGAAGTTTATGGTGAACATGCTCTTACTGAGTGAACATGCCGAAAGTGGTTTGTGCGATTTAAATGTGTTGATTTTGGCTTGGAAGACAAAGAACGCCTTGGGCCGTCAAAAAATTAGGAACTGGAAGCATTACTCGGAAACATTGTTGTGGAACACAAGAGAAGCTCGCAAAATCTCCGAAGTCCGAATAGACTTGTTGTTCACCAAACGCCATAATTTCGCACGTTATCTTGGATGATTGTATCGAGTATATTCAGATAAAAAGTCCTACAAAAATACACTTACCAACTTATTAGAGCAGAATTGTTCATCAAGGGTGTCGTTTAGCTTTCATTATATAACTCTCACAAAGCATAAAAGCCGCAACAACATAGTTATAATGGCAGCAAACGTAATAAAAACATTATTAGCACGAAAGTTTCTTCACGCCACCGCAGAGAAAAAAATTATTAATGCAATTATAATGGACGAAAGTAAAAAACAAGAAAAATGTTAACTTTGGCTGCCCCGAAGCTATAATACCCTTCATAAATACAAAATTTTTCATACAATAACTAGAATTTGATCGGTCAGTTGTATGACAGCTGTATGCTGCAAAGGTCCGATCGAAATAATCCTTGCAAATTCCGTGCAGATATGCTTGCTTGCTAAATAAAAATCCTCCCCCGTACAAGGACTTGATTTTGATCGATAAATGTGTATTGCAGCTATATCCTATAGTGATCCGATATCGGCGGTTCCGACAAATGAGCAGCTTCTTGAGCAGAAAAGGAAGTGTCCAAAATTTCAGATCAAAATCTAAAAAATAGGACTTATTCGCGTATGACATACAGACAGTCGGACATGGCTAAATTAACTCAGTTCGTCATGGCAAACATTTATATACGTTATGTATACTCTTTACAGAATCTCCGACGTTTTATACAAGGTGTTACAAACTTCGTGGAATTCTTAATACACTCTGTTCAGGGTATAATAAAATAAGAAGCGACATAAAACGCACCGCGCAAAAATTGACGTACACAAATTGACCGGAAGGCAACCGCAGGCATCGCAGTCTGCGGAAAGCGGAAGGCAGCCAAAGGAGGAATATGTCCGAAACGCACAAAAATGATGTTGTAAAATGTCTATATTAAATGCGCGACGACGCCAGCAGCCTGCCACCGCAAAATGCCATAGAATGGCACTTTTGTAGACAATTTTAATGTAATTGTTTAATTATTATGGCGTGTCATTAGCAAAAACAACATACAATACAAGTACTTGCATATACATTATCATA